GACCCTTGAGCCATTTTTGAGGTGCTCAAAGTCCTCAAGGAGTTTAGCATGCGCAACTTCAAGCTCCTTATTTTTAGTTTCAAAATCATTGGCCACCTCAAGAGCTCTATCACGAGATTCCCTCACTCTAGATAATTCTAGAGCAAAAGTCTCCTCAAGAGATTCCTTGGTGGTTTGTTCAAGTTCAAGAGCTTGAGAGAGGTCTGCAATCTCATTAGCGTAATCACGCTCATGACCTTCCATTTGATCAATGGTGACCTCATGCTCCTCAAGACGAGATTCCAACTCATCAATATATTTCTTGCCCCCAATAGCAATAGACATTATTTCCATGAAGTTGGAACGAGCAATTTTATTCTTAAGAAGAGCTTTAAAAATCATTTCCCCCTTAATTTTTAAGGAGGCAACATCATCATTCTCTTCATCATAATCAACATCATCATCACACTTGCCATCATCAATATCATCACAAGATATATTGGGATTCAAAGTGGGAGATACCTTTGAAGCCTTAGCCATAAGGCAAAAAGCAATCGATGATGATGTAGGACCCCTTGAAGCACCGTACAAGACCACATCTTGTCCCATGGAGTGTTGGCTTTCCTCTACATTGTTAGCACAACAACTCGAGGAAATAGATGCGTTTTTATCATGGCAACAAGACATAGTAAACATATCATCATGAGATTTAATCAAGCAATTTCTACATGATATGCAAGGACTATCAACACAAGCATGTGAAACATTTGGAGTGCTCGAAGTGTTAAAGCCCAAAGAAGGAGCATTGCAATAAGATAGTGATGAAGGATCATCCACAATAAGCATACTGTTATCATTGCAATGACCAACACTACTCACCATATCATTACCTTGTGGAAAACCACATGTAGGTGAAGTAGAAGAAGTTGAGAAGACTATACGACCGGAGGTGGAGGGAGAACAATCATCCCCACAAATCTTGGACACTCCATATTTATCTTGAAGCTTCGTCCACAACTCATGAGCATCCCGGAATGGCATGAGTTGAAATATAACTACATTGCTCAAAGCATCGAAAAGCACATTAGAAGCTTGAGCATTGAGATAAGAGTTTTTCTCATCCTCTAAAGATAATCTTTGGGGATCCTTTGGAGGAGAAAAACCCATATCTAAAATTCGCTCTAAATTTGGGTCCATGACCCTAAAGAGATTAAGCATGCAAATTACCCAAACATCAAAATTTGTGCCATTGAAACTAAGAGTGTCAGAGAATCCTAATCCCCTAGTCGACATCTTTACTCTCTAGGTGGTTAAGCCTAACAAAGAGAGACGAGGCTCTGATACCAATTGAAAGATCGTGGATGTCGCCTAGAGGGGGGTGAATAGGCGTTTTAAAGTAATTACGGTTTAGGCTTGAACAAATGCGGAATAAACCTAGCGGTTAATTTGTCAAGCACAAAACCTAAAACAATTAGGCTCACCTATGTGCACCAACAACTTATGCTAAGCAAGATAAGCAACTATGTGATAGCAAGATATATGATAAGAAACAATAAGGCTATCACAAAGTAAAGTGCATAAGTAAAGGGCTCGGGTAAGACATAACCGAGGTACGCGGAGTCGATGATGTATCCCGAAGTTCACACCCTTGCGGATGCTAATCTCCGTTTGGAGCGGTGTGGAGGCACAATGCTCCCCAAGAAGCCACTAGGGCCATCGTAATCTCCTCACGCCCTCGCACAATGCAAGATGTCGTGATTCCACTAAGGGACCCTTGAGGGCGGTCACCGAACCCGTACAAATGGCAACCCTTGGGGGGCGGTCACCGAACCCGTACACTTTGGCAACCCTTGGGGGCGGTCACCGGTACCCGTCAAATTGCTCGGGGCGATCTTCACAACCTAATTGGAGACCCCGACGCTTGCCCAGAGCTTTACACCACAATGATTGAGCTCCGAACAACACCAACCGTCTAGGGCGCCAAGGCACCCAAGAGGAACAAGCTCTAGGGTGCCCAAACACCCAAGAGTAATAAGCTTTCTCAAACTTCACTTCCACGTATCACCATGGAGAACTCAAACCGATGCACCAAATGCAATGGCAAGGGCACACGGAGTGCCCAAGTCCTTCTCTCTCAAATCCCACCGGAGCAACTAATGCTAGGGAGGAAAATGAGAGGAAGAACAAGAAGGAGAGCACCAAGAACTCCAAGATCTAGATCCAAGGGGTTCCCCTCACATAGAGGAGAAAGTGATTGGTGGAAATGTGAATCTAGATCTCCTCTCTCTTTGCCCTCGAAAACTAGCAAGAATCCATGGAGGGATTGAGAGTTAGCAAGCTCAAAGAAGGTCAACAATGGGGGCAAAAACGAGCCCAAGAGATAGGGAACCATTGGGGAAGAAGACCCCCTTAAATAGGTCCCCACAAATCTGCCCGTTATGTACAGAATAACATAGGAGCGGTACAACCTCTATGAGCACCGGTACAACCGATAACAGGCAATAAACGGTACAACCGGCCCACAACCGCCCAACAACCGCACCACAACAGAGACCAGTCCGGTGGTAGAGCGGTACATGACCGGTACAACCTCCGGACCAATTCTGGAGTGGTACAACCACTCCAAACACCGGTTGTACCGGTCAAGCGGTACAACCTCTCCATGGGGCGGTACAACCTCTCTGTGTAAAACAGGCAATATCAAAACAGCCACAACTTTCGCATACGAGCTCCGAATTCAACGAAACCAAGTTTGTTAGAAAGCTAATGACAAGGGCTAACACAATCTTGAGAGAAATATCAATAAGAAGCAAATGAGAAAAGGACCATAATAAAATGGTGAGAACCCTTCCTCGGATAAGACCGGTAAAACCTCCAACACCGAAAACATCATAGAAGATGCATGCGAACTCCGTTTTCGATGAACTCAAACTTGTCATAAAGATGACCATAAGCTCTAAGACTCACAAATGGAACCAAATAAGAACCAAGAAAGATGATGCAAGGATGCAATGGTTTGAGCTCTCGACTAATGATACGATCAACCTACTCCCTAGAGAGCCCCCTTGATAGTACGACAATCGATCCTAGAACCCGGTCTCCCAACTACCACTATGAGACCGGTAAAATAGAAAACCTATCAAGGGAAAACCTTTGCCTTGCACGTAGTCCACTTGAGCTAGATGATGACGATCTTGACTTCCTCATGTTGGACCACCTTTCTTGATTGTGTTGGCTCGATGAAGACTAGTTGATTGCTCCCCCATACTCCACTATGGGTGAGCCACTCTTTGGCACATCTTCACAATTCCATTGACACCACAATGGATGGCAAGTTTCAAGCTTGATTGCTCCCCCATACTCCATTATGGGTGAGCCACTCTTCGAGTTGCTCCACTTGGATTTGCACACTGCAAACTTGATGATGATCACCACTTGATGTCATCCTCCATGGGTTGTATGAGATCTTCCTCTTGACGCAAGACCATGGAAACATACCTAACCCCACAAAGAACTCTCACGTAGACCATGGGTTAGTACACAAAGCGTAATGGACAATGCTTACCATACCATGGGATCACTTAATCCCTCTCGGTACTTTTTCTACGCTTTGTGAGTTGATCAACTTGATTCACTCTTGACTTAGTCTTGATCAACATTAAATTTTTCCAACTCTCATTTGGATGGTGTCTTGAGGATAACCATGAATGATCACACAATCTTCTTCTTCAAGACATGCTCGCAATAAGCTCAACTCACACATGACCAATCTTTAGATAATTCCTTGAAAAGCACTTTGGCCATCTCAACTCACATATGACCAATCTTTGGATAATTCCTTAAAAAGCACTTTGTCCATCTCATAAACTCCTTAAAACCAACACATGGACTTCAAGACAATCCTATGGACAAATCCTTCAAATATAACTCAAGGCAACCGTTAGTCCATAGAGATTGTCATCAATTACCAAAACCACACATGGGGGCACCGCATGTTCTTTCATTCACAATGAACTTGGTGATGCCGACTCTTCTCGGGAAGAAACTGGGACCGGTGAGATAGAGGTAAACACTACAGCCTCTGACTCGGAAACACTTGGCCAAAGGGGATGCTTCTAATGCAACTATTTACACTATTTATTCTAGGGGTGCAACAGGTTTATTGGGTCGGCCCAGCACGCTTCGCCTGAGCGCAGCGGCATAGCGGTCGAGGGTTTAGTACTACTCCCTCCGTTCGGAATTACTTGTCACAGAAATGGATGTATCTAGATGTATTTTAGTTCTAGATACATCCATATCCGAGACAAGTAATTCCGAACGTAGGGAGTACCTTGCAGCGCGAGGGTGTGTTAGGCCAGCAGTTCAGGTGCGCAAACATGTACGTGTACATACCACTCACACGTCCCCGAAGGTGACCATCCGGAGGTGGGTATATGTTTTTGCCATAAGATCACATGTCCCCGAAGGAGACCATACGGAGGTGGGTATATGTTTTTGCCAAAATACCATACTGCCCTTATATGTTTAGAGGCGGGGTGGGTGTCGAAGCGGAGCTCATGATCTACTCCCATAAAATGTCTGATATTTGTTTATTGATAATCTAAAATGTCTTATATTTGTTTACATAGAGAGTAATTCATTTTATAGAAGTTAAGTTTGAGAGTTTGCCTCTAGCTGCACACTCTTTTTAACTACTCATATTTAAGAAGTTATAGGGTCGAGAAGGCGTTTCAGGAGTTATAAGAATTTGTTAAGGGTTGGTTAGAAATACCCTTACAACTCTTTTAAGTCGATACGGAGTTGCCGAAGAGAGTAGTATAAACAAATGAAGGGTAAATACAAGAAACAAAATGAGTATTGGTTCTATTTGATTTGCATAGCCCACAGGGCAAAAAGGGCAAGGACAATATATTTCTTGTTGATATTAAATTGCAAAAATAGGACAATTGGAATTGGAGACAAGTCATGGCTCTCAGATGATCATAGAATTGGAAGTGGTAACTGAAACATGGCAGTTTCGTTTAGTTCAGCTTCCTTGTCTGTCCTTGATGATTTTTCACGACGCCAGGGCGCTGTCTCCTGCGCCCTCCTGGATGCAAGGGAACGTAGTCTTTATCTTGGTCGTAGTCCTCGTCGACCTCGACCTCATAGGTTACTACGCCCTTGGCTTTCAGCTGTTGCCTGTAGTCTTTCTGTAAATCCAGCATCTCCTGGTTAACACAGTCGTCGAACAGGGCTATGTCGGCCAACATGTCATACAAGCTCGCAGCCAGCACAGGGTCTTTCCTGAAAGCAATCTCAGGCACCTCCATATCCATGCTGTCCGGTTTGTAGGAGAGGACACGTTTCACATCGCACTCTGCCACCTGACGCGAGATCTTCTTCTTATTCTTCTTCTTCTTCAGCCCCTTCGACTCTGCAGATATTTCGGCTGACTCGCCGGGTGCGTTTTTCTGAACCTGCGGATCAACCAGCTTCACCTCCTGCTCCAAAGAACTCGAGCTCGCCATTGGGACCTGCACCAACTGCTATCGATTATTGAGATAAAAAAAATCAGGTGACCCTTGATGCATATTTATATGCACGCGCGAGCAGAGTCCCTGTCGGGCTCCTCAAGTCGTATACGTGTGCTGCACGATCCGACTCGATCCCCGGCCGGAATCGGCAGAAGAGCGCGTCCGGGTCGATTCCAGATCGACAGATCCGAAGCTGTCACGATTAGGGTTCCAGATCGGGCACATGGATCCGACGC